TGACAGCATGGAAGATCTGGAAGGCATGGGAGTTTAAGTTCCAAATCTGTCATGCTCTCGCTCAGGACACTGGAAAGGGAATCTCATTTCTCTGACCCTCTGCGATCGACTGTACCAACTTCATGTAGTTAGAAAGGATCAAGTCAGAAAATGTCTGTGAAGGCGCTAGGTTGAAATAAAAAGTCCTGAATCCTGTTTAAGTTTACAGATGAGAAGGCACCTTCTACAGTCACGACCCTCCTCTAAAATTTTTACCTGCAAGATTCATCTAATTCTCTTCTAAAAGAGTATCTTGAGTTCTGGCTTGGGAGCGCTCTTCAGCATTGCAGTCAGAGTGGCCTTTTCAGGATTCAGTAAATGCCATCGCGGCACAGAAAAGTCATGTCCTTTGTTGAACCTGAGAACTCGCTGCTTCCACTTACCCCTTGAGCACCAAACTGGTGTTCCACGGTTCCCAACAAAGACTCCAGGGGGTTCCTGTCCGCTACAGAAGGGGGGAAAGGTTTAATGTCTAATATTATACCTTACTTCTGATTACAGAAAGAGATTCTCATGCTATCTTAAAGTTTTGGATCCCAGCTACCTACATCAGGAAGTCCATTTATGGATAGGGTGGCAAAATCATCCACAGTCAACCATCGGCTAATTTATCCCTTATAGGACATACTTTTTATCAGGGTCTCTAACCTAGATGAACAACAGCTACAAGAAGTAAAGCAGAAAAGCAGCAAGAGTTTGGATTCAGGAGTGAGGCTGACTGGGCCGCAGGGTCCTCATCTGTCAAACCAGAGTCCTGGTGGCAGTGGGGGCGGCGAACAGTAACTGAGCGCTGGCCTCACTGAGGGACCGTCTCAAAGGTTTGCTTGAGGGAGCTCATCTCATCCTCCCAAGCACCGCCGTTTCACTGCTGAGGGACCTGAGCCACAGAGGGTGCAGGTAACTTCACAAGGCCACAAGACTGGCCACCAGAGGGGCTGTGCGAGAACAACCACGTGTTGGCAATGCTTTGGCTCACAGCCCCGGTTCTGTCCAAATCTTTCACGGTGAGAGTTTGGACTAAATCACTCATTCTGGTGACAACTAGTCTCCGATATCCTTAACTACCTTCCCTGCCTTCTTGTTTCTTCGGAAACGATACGCCTGAATGGCTTTAACTCCCCTTGAAGCTAACTACAGGCAATACCTTCAAGAACAGGTCAGTCTAAAGGAGATTTTTGTAAAAAGGAAGTTAGGGCTAGGATTAGCCTGACCTGATCATGTTAACCCCCAAACTGAACGAAACCAACAAAGGCTCTCTCTAGCCTAAGGAAAAGTGGGGAGAATTACCTTTGTATCTCTTTTTTTCTTCCTCGGTCAGGTGTTCTGTCCGGATTTTGGTTATCACACTCACATTGTTTACTGTGTAAACCTTGGGAGACGTGTGCAAAAGAAAACAGTGACACAGGGAATCAAAACTCAAAAAATAAGCATAGCAAGAGCAAGAATGCTGAAGCCAAAAAATAAATAAAGAAAAGAAAAGAAAAGAAAAAATTCCAGCAAAATAAAAATGAGAAATGGTTGACAATCATTAGGATCCCTCCGAGAAAATATACAAGCTAATCAACTTAGAAATGCATCAGCAACTACTTGGCATCTCTGACAGTTTTAAAGACCGAGGAGTAATCGGGGCAGGGACGGGCTGCATCTCCCTGCCTGCCTTTGTGTTGCTAATCGCTCTCAAACAAATGTCCTGATGTTGAGGCCTCCCGGCTGGATTTCTAGCGCTAAGGCACCCCAACTGGCCCCACGTACTTCTCTGCTGATTTGTGGCGATGTTATAATAGGACGGACTTAGACAGCCATCTGCTGGGTAGAAGGAAAACGGAATGAACACAAGGTTCTCTCTACCTGTGAGGCTTCAGAGGAAACCAGCGAGTCACTACTTAAAAGGGATTCCATCGATGGACAAAAAATTATTTTCACCGCCAGTGAATGTTCTGTTGTCAAGGTTGACTGAGAAATTTGGGGGTCTGGAAGATCAAATCTCACGGTAAACAGAGAATTAGCTGTATGCCATACGTGGATTCCCAACGTTCAAAGACTGAGGAAGCAGCGGAACGACTGTGTCTAAATGTGTCTCGCTGAGCATGACGTAAGCCTCTTTGCCCCCTCCGAGGTCACCAGAGGATCCTGCGGCACCGCACTCCGGCACGGGAGCCATCAGTCCCTGCTGTACTGCAGGGCTAACGAAAGGCCAGGAGACAGAGGCGTCCCAGCTAACAAGATGCCAGATGACTCGACTGACAGTTGTCTGCACTATGACAACTACGTTCTTAACACACTGATGTCATGTAAGTGGGTGTCAGGCCACTGGTTCCAATTAGGCTGACTAGGAAAATGGAGGCTCATTAAAGCTATTTTACTTTTTTTTTTTTTTTTTTAACCCACTCAGGTTATTAAAAAAAAAAAAAGATCAACATGCAGGTTTCAGTCTAATCCTTTCTTTTTCTGCTTAAAGAATTAAAGGAACAGTCACTCCTCTGGGGACAACTGGCACCCGTGTTCATTTCTCTACGACATAGTTTCTCTTTTGGCATACCTAGGGACCTCCTCAGGACATGAGAGCCCATTTTCTGCACATCAGATCAGATACAAATCCAAGTGAGAGACACTAAGCAGCACTTTTTCCCCCAGAGCATCTCCACAGCACAGATGCATGAAAAAATCTGAACAGACTCCTCATTTGCATAGAAGCTAAATAGCTATATTAAATCTTATTTTAAGAGTTTCCTTTTACCTTTGCTTCGTAACCATTAACAACTTCTGCTTTATCTGTCCTCCAGCCCCAGAATCCGGATTTAGTTCTGATAAAAAGTGAACACCACAAATTTCTACATGTACAATATGCCATTCAGATTTATCCCTGCAGCCTTTACAGTTTATTTCCCCCAGCTTAAGTTGGTGAAGGACACTTGGAGATTACGGTCCTATTGTCCACAAAAGGATGCTCTCAGTGACAGATGGCTTAAGTAGCCCCACCCCCTCCCACTGTTACTAATCAGCTCGCCTCACCCCTGGCATAGAAAGCCTCTATTCTTGGCGTCTTTACAAAAACTGCCAGCACAGGCGACAAAGGTGGTGACATTGACTGGACAGCTGTCCTAAAGAAATGAGTGAAGATGACCAGCGTCCAAGGGCTTGCCACGAGGTGGTATCTGGGTCAGAGCATTTATCCGGATCACCTTAACTGTGGGTATGGACATCAGTGGCTCTGTCCCCATGAGCAGCCGCATCTCAACTGAGGAATTCTTAGAACAACGAGGCACAGACCATCCTGCTCCTCAGGAGAGAGCGGGTGGGGCAGGAACTCCTCACTGTGGCAAGCTGCTTGGAGAAGCCATTAATGCCTACGAAATGGCTTGGGAGTCGCACGTTTTACCAGGTTTGGTGCAGCAGGGGAAAGGATGTTAAAAGCAGTTTTCCGGCCCAGACAATGACTCCAGGTCTGTAGGACTGCTGTTAAAGTAGCCTAGCATCCCAGCAGCAACGACAGCACTGCTAAAGTGCCTGAAAACCCAGTTATTCGACTCAACATACTCCTGGGGAAAAATGCATTTAGGAACCAAGAGCAGCCAAGAGGTTCTGGTTCTTTTTCAAAGCAGCGCGTCCTGGGAAATACTACCACTCACAGGGAAGCCCTGACAAGCCTGGTCTGCCCTTTTGTCTAGGACATCACATCCTAGCTCCACTGTGACTGCTGCACTTGGCCCTGCGTAGGACAACTGCCTGCCTTCCACCCGGACCCCAGAGGAAACTGGGGACATCACGCAGGAAGCTCCGGGAGCCAGCAGATTAGCCAGCTCACAAAGATCCATGTAATTTGCGTCTCGTGTTTCCAGTTTCATTAGTCCAGACAGGGCATACAGAGTTTTATGTGTATGTTACAGCTCATCAGAGAAAGGAAGGACCAGGGCTTTAATTTTCCAAGTAGTTGTCCACAATTAGTGCAGCATGACCCACGGAGGGAGAGAGGGAAACCCCAAAGGGATTACACCAAATGCTAGCTTATCTCCACTTTACACTTCAGAAACAAAACCGCAATCCTGGGGGCGGGGGGCAGGGTCCACACTGATTAACAAACCAGAGTCCCCTCTTAGCTTCAATAATTGAAAATTAAGATCGTCCTCTTATAGTTAACAAAGTCAGTCCTCGGTTCCTTGCCTTTCACCTAGTCACTTGATATTCTGGCCTGGGAAAGGACTGCTTTCTGGCACACGGTCTGCCGAGGTACCAAAGGATGACTCCATCTGCCCCACTTCATCCCGTGAGCATGCTGGGGAGACGGAGCCGCCCCCCTCTCCCTGGAGACCACTAGGCTGCTCACTCCTTTGCATCCGCTCAACTGGCAATCCTGGCTGCTCTGCCTCCTTTTCCATCCCCACGCTGACAGCTTGGTTATTAAATTCGGCATCCTATTTTAAGCCCAAAATTCTAATAACTCCTCAACCCTTGATTAACTTTATGCACAGAGGCATCTGAAGATGACAGGGCAAGACCCAGCTCCCCCTCTGCATTTTTACCTCTGCCCTTCTCCGCTGAGGCTGCCACACCAAAAGCCGCTGAGCAAGCCCTGTGGCTTGGAGGCTGCTATGCAATTCAGAGAGAGGCTCTGAGGGCAGCAGAGAATGTTCTGTTTTAGGTTGCCAGAGCATACTCTTTCAGAGAAGAGAAAAACCCAGACTGCAGCCAGAGGGGACATACTGGCAGGCCAAAAACTCATGCAGGAAGCAAGCATCAAGCTCTCAGCAACAGACCAGAAGAAAGAAATGGATGAAAACGACTCTCCTAAGAGAGCACACCTTCCGAAGTCAATCAAGCGCATGCTCCCACCTCCAGTAAGAAGGAGGTGTGCACTTTCTCTACCAGCAAATCTCACACTCAAGTGGCTCAAACCCTTGCTCGATGCATAAGCAGCTCACTGACTGCATATACTGAGTTCTGAGCACCACAGAAAAAAAGCAGCTGTTTTCCAGAAATCGTCTCTCAGAGACCCACTGTCAGTTGCCAAAGGAGGTTAACCCGAACCGTCTGAAGAACTAGTGACCATACAAATCCCAGAGGTGCCTCAGCCCTCAGTAAAAATGGGAACTGCCACCGTTTCCCATTTGCCCTTCGTGGGGTAGCCGCCAGTAATTGGCACACGCTTTGTAAGTTACATGTCAGAACAGTGACTCTAGCAACTCTGCCGATGACCCAGAGGGAACGGCGGCTCTCCTCACGGCATCGTAGAGTCGTGGGGGCTTTAGCAACATCATCTCGAGATTCACTCCTTTCTTTCTTTCAGGTAAGGAAGCAGAAACGTGGAGAGACAGAGCCACCTTCCCAAAGCTACATGGTTACTTAGCAGCCCTGCCAATGGCATTCAGTCCTTCCAACTTCCACCTCCGCAGCCGGGCCGTGGCACTGAGGACGGGCCCCGCTATTTCCCAGCTTTACGAACAGAGCCCTTTGCTGCAGGGGCCCTCCCTGTCTACAGAGGTGTGTGCCGAAGCCTGTAGAAGTCTTCCCGAGATGCTACCAGGTAAAGCCACGGCCCATTCCTGACAGACAGCCGTCACCTGGCAAGGCTGGGGTGCCAGGAGACTGGTGATGGGGGACTGAGCCTGCCTCCCAGGGCTACCGCTGCCAACACAGCAGCAGTACTGGGACACCACGTGGGCTGGCATTTGGCTTTCTCTTCTACTGCTAACAGATGCCCTAATTCCACAGCTCCATCTAAATCAGAAGAAAAAGGGCATTTGAGTCTTATGTTTGACTCAGCAGAAAAGTTTGTCTCACTAACATATTTTATGGAAACAAAGAAGAAAAGAAAAAGAAAAAAAAAGGAGAGTTAGTATATTCATTAAGAGTAAAGAAAGCCTAGATCCAGGACAATATGTGTCCACGTGAGCTCAGGTTATGCTGCTTTGGTTTACAGAGAGCTGGATGTGACATCCTAGGCAAACACTCAGGGCTCTTACAGATTCCCTCAGCTCAGTGCGTTCTGTGGGGAAATCACTCAGGCTAATAGCTCTGACAGCTTCCGCTTCCCTTACATTCCGAACCTCTTCATGCCTCTGCGGGGCTCAGAGGCAGATGACCAGAGACAGTGTTCTCATCCAGGTGAACCAAGGCACAAACCTCTCCAGACGCTTCTTCTGGTGGAGTCTGGAATAGAACTGCAATCCCTCCAGACTCTTGGCTCTAAACTATTAGGCCTCACAGGGGAAGAGAACCACATTTAACTATATGGTAAGTGTGGATCTGACTAGTATCAGTACAACCACAATCAATACTGGGTCAATTCTAGCTTCCAGAGACTCGCAAAGCTCCATGGTCTGGGACTAGGGGGTCTTGTGGGTCCCCAAACACCAAAACAAAAATAAAATTCAAGTAAAATCCATTAGAAAGGGCCCATAAAAGAGTATGAAGATGTTTCTCCAAGACTTAACCAACGTTAATGTCTATAAAATGATCTATGAAAGAGGATGTCGGCTATGGCTTCTTTCTGGTTAGAACAGAGAGCAACTTGAAAATCCACTAGTGCTTATTATGCCATATTAGAGAAATCCCAATCCACCCATAATTTCCAATTCATATCTACATGCCACCAAAGATGGCAGTAAAGGGATCGGACATTAAAATGCAGAACCTAAATGCGTACCTTTCAAAAGCAATATTTTTAGTATCGAGGCTGGTGTTAATGACTGGGCTCGTGAGCCGTCTCTCAACTTCCCTACTTTTTGGCTTCATCAAGTCCAGGGTGAGGCGCTCCATTTCTTGGGACAGGTCAAAGTGCTCGGTGGTGACCACCCTGTCATCATGGTTGACTTCCATCAGCTCCGCCCGGTTGTCTGTTAATGGAAACAAGAGCGTAACTAAGGGCCATGCCAGCAAGATGCAAAAACAAGGAAGCCTCAAAAGTTAAAATGCATTGTCTTTCACATTTGCCCCCCACCAAGGGCCACCTACCAGATAAGACCTGAAGACTATGATTACTGACCACCTACTTACATGGGGATTATCCGGCCAGTTTGCCACAACCCACAGGAGGCTCGGGGCCGTCTTCCCCAAAGTTGCAGACATTTACAACAATATGCATTATTTGTTAGCAATACATCTGTGTACTTTTTAAAATATACCATTTACACAATTAACATAAATCATTTATGCACAACATTGGGCTGGCAATGCCACTTTTCTCACCCTCTGATAGGAGGATCATGCCTGCTTACAGAGGCGATATATATGTGCTGCCGAAGCGAGCACTACAGAGGGGATATAAAGAGATACGAGACAGAGTCTCAAATTCTGGGCTCAGGAATGTGGGACATTCCAAATGGTGACAGTGTTTGGTGGTAAATGATAGGGGCTAGAGAATGAACAGAACTATCCAAAGTGTTACAGCTCCTTTAGAATTTGTCTAGCAGGCTTTCCGGTCCTTACCAGAAGACCCCTTAAAAAAACAAACAAACAAACAAACAAACAAACAAAACCCCAGAGAAACAGAGAGAGAGAGAGAGAGAGAGAGAGAGAGAGAGAACTATCCAAAAAAGAAATAGAGGAATTGAGAGTTGAATAATTAACAAGAATAACCAACAAAAACAAAAAACACAAAACACATGCCCCAGACAGTATCAGATAAGGTATAGGAATCCAAACACATTTTGATGCTTAAAAATCACTCTTGTCGGGGTGCCTGGGTAGCTCAGTCAGTTAAGCGTCTGACTTCAGCTCAGGTCATGATCCCATGGTTTGTGGGTTCGAGCCCTGTGTCTGGCTCTGTGCTGACAGCTAAGAGCCTGGAGCCTGCTTCGGATTCTGTGTCTCCCTCTCTCCCTTTCTCTGCCCCTCCCCTGCTCAAGCTCTGTTTCTCTCTCTCTCAAAAAGTAAATAAACAAAAAAAAATTAAAAATCACTCTGTCACTTAGTGTGAACAGTGATTATGAAAACTGAATAGAATCACTCACCTTCTCCCTTAAATATAAAACTGCGCCTCCCTCTTATCCAGCTCATGTTCTCAAATCCCAGCAACGTGATATCCACACGCAGTTTGGCACCACTTTTCCAAATGCGACAGACATCATTCGGGCATATTCTGGAAACCAAGGGCACTGGAGAAGAGAAGTGTACTACTGAGGAAAAACTTGAGGGCCAAGCAGAGCACACAGGCCCAAGGAATCAGGATTCCAGCTTTAATAATAAAAAGACAGGAGCGGCACGCATGACGGTGACCGTCAGAACTGGGTGTGGCTCCCCCCGCTTACAATAGGGAAGCCACTTTTCAAAACTAAAAATGGACCTTTTGTTCTGTAGCTCTTTATGGAGGTGCAGATGTGTCTTTGTCCAGACACGTGAATTTCCCAAGGACATCCCCGATCCCAACACGGACCTGTCTTTTTGACCATCATCAGGGCTACCGAATGTGTCCATCTGGCCTTCTTGCTCACATATGCTGCTCCTACGTCGCTGTGCCCTAACACACTGGCATATCCGCCCCTCAAAATATCAAACCTAAAATATCTGAAAAATGCAGATATTTGCATGAGAGAAGAACTTGTAAGTTTTCCAGAAGAACCTGAAGTTCTCTTCTTTCCCATACTTTTTTACTTCATTTAAATGTTTCATTACGAATGTGACTTCTTGCCTGGAAGGGAAGTCAGAGTGAAATGGCTGGCAGCCTGGGAGTTAGGAGCTGTTATTAACTGATCTACAAAGAATAAAAGTGGAACATCTATGAAAATTACTGTCAGTCACTTTGCCTTACATAAGATTTTGGAGCAATACATCCACTTTGTGAAAAATCAAGCTATTCCAACATCCATCTCCTCCTCTTCTTTCTAATAACAAGTTTAAAAGAAGCAAGTTGAACCACATAAGGAAATGAGTAATAAATTACGGTAAATCTTCTTGCTAAAATTGTAGGCATTTAAAGTGACATCTTAAAAAACTAATAATATGGACAAGTGTCTCCTATTAAGTGACAAAAAGTGGAGAAAAAACTGTCTCTATATTATATTTACAGATACTTGGGAGAAAAATCTCTGTGCGTAGGGGCAAAAACGAGAAGGAAAACATCCAAAGCATTAACAGCTTAAGTTGTGCTTCAGTGAGACTATAGGTGATGGTTTTTCTTTATTTTTTTACTATGCATTTCTTAGACTTAAAAATATATACACATTAAAATCTTAGAAAGGAAAAATAAACTTCTATTCAGGGTCAATACATCTGGAAACAAATAAATTTTAAGCCCAGAGCCACTCACCCCAGCTGGTGAATTCCCATTTCATCTGCACATAGAAATCCGGAGCCTGAAGGACAAAGGTTTAAAGTAAATGACCCTTGGCGCCATAAACTAAATGCAAACATGGTAAGGGTTAATGAGGTTTTAGAGGGAGGGGAGGAGAGAACAGAGAAAATAAGAAGAAACATAAAATGCAAACCCATCAAAAATAAGTGCTTATTTTATACACAGGCTGATATTTTACCTCGATATAAAATATGTCTAGACAGTCAATAAAGTTAACTGAAGGCAACAAGGTTAGAGGGGGATAAAATCAAATCTGATTTAGGACAGTCTGGTTCCTAACAGTAGCAGAAAGATGAGCCTGGAAGATGGGCTTACGCACTGCCAGGCAGTGTGGGTAACAGACTGTCCTGGGCAGTGAGAAAGGAATGTCAAGTCCGTCTATTCTACAGGGAACTTGACTGTAAAAGTTTGTGTGCTGGCAAGTGCTTCATATTCACTGGACCTCGAAACCAGAAGAGGCTGCCAGACATCACTTCCCCAGGAAATTGATTTTCCCTCCAGTTAAGAGACTTCTGCCTCATTTTCCTCTTAAACTTTTAGTACTTGGCTTTATAAAATTTTACACCACCAGAGCAGCCCTGTTTAGGATGACTTTCTGACCTACCATGAATTCTGTAATTTTCTTTTAATGTTTATTTATTTTTGACATAGAAAGAGTGTGCACACATAGGGGGTTAGGGGGTTGGGGTGAGGAGGAGGAGGAGAGAGAAAGGAAGACAGAGAATCCAAAGCAGGTTTGGTCAGCACAGAGCCCGATGTGGGGCTCGAACCCACCAATGAGATCATGACCTGAGCCAAAGTCGGATGCTCAACCAACTGAGCCACCCAGGCGCCCCTGACCTGCCAGGAATTTTTACAGAAGGTTCTTGGAGAGCTCTTAAGAAGTCCAGCAGCTACCATCCAAGAAGAGAAATGCTAGAAATCCCAGATGTTGTTCTGTTCCTTCCCACCCCCGTGGTTTGTCACAGTTTTTACAGGACAGGACAGGAAGGGCAAGGATCTAGCCTAGAGTAAAACCAGAATTCCAGTGATGGGCAAAGGCCCTCTGAGGGGCAGCACACAAGAAAAGGTGGGCTTGTTTTAAGGAGACTGTTGAAAGACAAAATGTCAACCACAGCATCTGGTGCCACTGAGCACACAGGTCATTCACAGGCTGTCTACACCTTCAAGCAGAGAGCACAGTACAATGCAGTTTACTGCTATGGATCAATACAGGTAAGAAAAGAAAGTCCTTTACACTGAATTTTTTAAAAGAGGGTGAGTCCACATTAAGTCATTTGCTGTTTTGCTGAGTGGGCAGATGTGTTTTTAGTTCCTCCTCCGGTACGTTAGATAAGAAAACAATAAACCCACTTGGTCTTTGCACACCAGACACAACTGTTTAAAAACAATGCATACACCCATTTCGTATTTCATGGAAGGATTCATGCAGCCCATGAAAAAGGAGTATCTCTAGGAATGCTTTTGCTTGAGTGTCATACAAATATGTCTTTAAAAAAGAGTGCTCACAGCAAAGGAAACAATCAGTAAAACTAAAAGGCAACCAACAGAATGGGAGAAGATATTTGCAAACAACACATAAGACAAAGGGTTAGTATCCAAAATCTATAGAGAACTTATCAAACTCAACACCCGAAAAACAAATAATCCAGTGAAGAAATGGGCAAAAGATATGAATAGACACTTCTCCAAAGAAGACATCCAGATGGCCCAAC